TCTTACTCCAGCTTTGCCATCTTTCTTTCCTGCTCTGCCTTCTCCGAGAGCTCAGTCACAACATGGTCTTTTTTTTTTCCCCTCTTTGTTCTTCCTACATTGGCAACTAGTGCCAAGCGAAGTGTTTGGACTGGAAACACGGGCTGTGTCTCTGCAGACATTTAGCAGAGTTCAGATCATCTCAAACAGAAGACTCATCCAGTGTCATTCTTACATTTTAGACTAAATTATCCAGGATAGTCTCATAACATCACGAACACGAATGATCCTGAAGTACGCCTTGAATACGTATACAGGTACCACCAGCCACTGAAGTACAGCCAACTCCTGGGTGGAAAACAATAGCTGTTTAGTCACAAACAGCAATGCTAGCAACACAGCAGACTCAGAGATGAACCGTACCATCTGAAATTTCACATCTATGCAAAAATTTTCCATTGCCAGGGCAGCTTACTTAGCAGCTGTACCTTTCATCCATTCCCATTGTTTTAAGTTCTTCTATCTGCCAATGAGAGTCAGTTTTAAACACACGTAGACAGCTACAGTAGATTATGTTATGTTTTCTTCTGTCATTTGAACAGGTTTGGATCGTTTTCTGTTTGGCCAATGCTAAAATACAGACATTAAAAGATAGTTCTTGGACTTGCAATAACATTTTAAACAATGTCTAAAAATAATCACAAAAGCCGTAAGTCAGCAGCAGAGTTAGTAACACATAGTATATAAAAAGGAAATAAAAATTCCTATTGCTGCATTTTATTGAATCATAATTTTAGTTATAATAAAAATCAAATGTAGTAGGTCAAATACACAGTGATTTTGCCTTTTTTTTTTTCATTTTGTATGGATAATATTAAAAAGAGCTGAAACATATCAGGAATAAATAGTATTTAATTATACACTTGTTTTTTGTGCAGTACTGCATGGGGCTGGACTGATGCTGGAGAACCAGCACACCCACCTTCTCATTCAGAGAGGATTCTAAGACATGAGAGTTCTTCATTTTGGAAGCAACTGCCACTATTAGTCGTTCTGAACTTGCATTCATGCAGGCTGCTTGCATCCTTCAGGTAATTCACCCCTCATTTTCAGTAACTGTGGTTGAACTAGGCCAAATCTTCTAGGTGAAAGATCCCACTTTCTACTTACATATGAGAAAAAGGTGACTTGTTCGAGATCATTAATGTTTTCTGATAAGACTGGGCTTCAACTTCCTAGGCTACAGACAATCATCCCCCTACAAAACTGCATTTTGTTTAGGAATGGAGAAATGTATGGATATTTAGGACTGTTTAATGGTACCACTTTACCTTTTTATTGCATATAAATACATTTTTTCTCTTTGTCTTACCTGTTTGCAGCTTCCACCCTCAGCATGGCCAAATAGCTGTAGCACAACTGAGGAGGTGGAGAGCTCTTAAAGTGCATCAGCTGCTGATGAAATAAAAACTCAGTTGGCAGAATATTCCCTTGAGAAGGTCCCATCCCTCTTTCTCTGTGCCCAGCTGCTCCTTCCTTTCACCAGAAGCTTCTGACTCCATCCGTTGGGCCGAATGCCAAATAAACTGTACATGTGGCTGGTCTCTAAGTAAGGAGAAGTAAATTTCTGTGAAGGATATAGAATAAGAACCTTTATTTGTTTCAAATCAAGCACTGGGTATGTTTCCAATGCAAAATTAATGACCTTAACTTAAACCATGTGGAAAT